TATAAAGATTATGTGTTCATAAGTCTTAAATAAACATATAATTATGTGCATAAATCTTTATGTACTGAGGCTTCAGGGCAGACACCTATCCATGCATAACTTCTGGAGCCGTAGTTGCATTAGTTTTATACAAATACTTTAGACAATAAAATCTTATGCCAAAAAACTTTCATTTTTGTTTTAAATCTTCATGTTCAGCTCACTGCAAATAATAATCATTGCCTCCTTCATTCAAACTGATGATGATAAGAAGCTAGCAAGGTCTCCATTACCAATAGATGAAGTCAGATGGAAACCTATTATAACGGGCATTCTCCTTCCTGCAACCTGCACCTGCAGTGGGATCTGCAACTAATGTTTGCATTATATTGTGTAGGCCCTACAGTCCCTGTCCTTTGTGGAGATATTTGATCAGTTGGCAGAGAAAAAAAGAATAAATAAATTGGAGCCCTAAGAAGAAGGAGAAAGAAAAAGTCAGATGTTATTTATGTATTTTTTTTCCTGAATTGGGGGTAGATTTTTAAATACCTCTGTTTCTTCCTTCCCAATCCTACCCTATGAACACACTAGTAAGATTTTTTTGACTTCTCCTTTCATCAAAGAGTGATGTTTGGAATTCACATTTCTTCACCAAAAAAAAATTAATGTTACATGTGCTTTCTAATGTTCCTCTTCCTGTTAATATTCATACTATTGCAACCTGGATGCCATGTCTACATTCCCAGTTTATCTTCTGCTCTCTTCCTATGCTAATTTTTCTTCCAAACACGAGACCGTAATACTTTTAACCACTTCAGGGGCTTCTGAGCAGACTTCCTATTGCTGGGACTTTCAATTCAATTCATATCTAAGAAAAAATTCTAGGAGGAAATAAAACCTTAGGAAAGAATAGTCTAGGTGTGCTTCCTTCTTTTCTTCTCCTATAAAGTATCTGAATTAGTAAAAAGGACATTAAAATTGCGTATCTTTCAAAATATGATAAATCAGATTATTGAGTATTTTTTGGTTGTTGCAAAATATAAATCAATGAATTTAGGTCATTGTAAATCATTCAGGAATAGAACTGATTTTTGATAGCTATACATTTCCACTTTCAGATATACTTTAAATATTTAACAGTGGTAATACTCAGGGCTGGTCATTCCCACATGATGTGATCTTTACTTACCAAATTACCATTTTCAAGACAAAGTAATTACATACAGTAAATGCGAATATTGTAGTAGGCTTTGTAACCTGTCCATTCTGGAAATACATGCACAAAAAATACAGAATCACAGAAAGGTTAAGGTTGGAAGGGACCTCCAGATATCATCTAGACCAACCCCCCTGCTCAAGCAGCGATACCTATAGCACGTGGCAGAAGATCATCCAGGCAGGTTTGGAAGACCTCCAGAGAAGGAGACTCCACAACTTCTCTGGACAGCCTGCTTCACCACTCTGTTACCCTTACAGTAAAGAAATACTTCTTCACACGCAGATGGAACTTCCTGGATTTCAACTTATACCCACTGCCCTTTGTCCTATTACTGGCCACCGCTAAGAAGACTGTAGCCCCATCACATTCCCTTCTCAGGTACTTATACAGATTGATCAGATCTCCTTTGAAACTTCTCGAGGGTAAACAGGCCCAGCTCACTTTCCTCGTATGATAGATGCTCCAGTCCCTTAATCATTGTTGTTGTTCTCTACTGGACCCTCTCTAGAAGCTCCACATCCATCATACTGGGGAGCCCAGAATTGCACACAATACTCCAGGTTTAGCCTGGGGCCTAGGCTGAGGAGAGGCACAGGATCCCCTCCCTTGAAACTGATGGCAACACTCCTCCTGATACAGGCCAGAATCCCATTGGCCTTCTTGGCCATGAGGGCACACTACTACACACATGGTTAACTTGGTGTCAACCAGGACTCTCAGGTCCCTCTCTGAGGAGCTGCTATCCACTACTAATCTGTACTGGTACCTGGGGTTATTCCTCCCCAGGTGCAGGACGCTGCAATTGTCCTTGTTGAACCTCATGAGGTTCCTCTCTGCCCAACTCTCCAGCCTGTCCAGGTCCCTCTGGATGGCAGCACAGCCCTCCGGAGTGTYGGCCACTCCACCCAGCTTGGCATCATCCACAAACTTGYTCAGGGTGCACTCACTGCCATCGTCCAAGTCACTGATGAACAAGTTGAAGAGCATCAGGCCCAGCACTGACCCYTGGGGGACACCACTGGCCACAGGCCTCCAACTGGACTCGGCCCCATTTATCACCATCCTCTGAGCTCTGCCATCTAGCCAGTTCTTAATCTACCTTACTGTGCACTCATCCAGTCCACACTTTCGGAACCTTCCTATGAAGATGTTATGGGGGACAAAGCCTTGCTGAAGTCATGGTAGGCAACATCCATGGCTCTCCCCTTGTCCATCTGGCCCATCGTCTCATCATAGAAAGCTTTCAGGTTCATCAAACATGACTTCCCCTTGGTGAATCCATGCTGACTACTCCTGATCACCTCCTTTTCCTTCACATGCCTAGAGATGCTCTCTAGGATGAGCTGTTCCATCACCTTTCCAGGGATGGAGGTGAGGCTGACAGGCCTGTAGTTTCCCGACTCTTTCCTCTTCCTCTTTTTGAAGACTGATGTTGGCTCTCTTCCAGTCCTCCGACACCTCATCTGCTCTCCATGACCTCTCAAAGATGATGGAGAGATTGCAAAATTGCAAATTAGTAATGTAAATTGATACAAATATCAATACAAATTGATGAATAAATTTTTGGATGCATACTCCCAATACAATCCTTTTAATCTCAACTAATTGTAGATAGGATTATCTTGTGCTTTCTATGAATTCCTTATTTATTTTTTAAGTACTTCAAATGGACTAGAACTGCATGTGTACAAATCTGGGCCCTAGAACAAATAATAGAATAAGAAACGAATTGGTGCTGCCTATATTTAGACCAACAGAAAGTGAGGAAACCAAATGCAAATCAGTTTAATTAGAAAGTAACCTGTCAAATCAGAAGATGGCTTAAACTCGATCCAGAATTATTTATCAAGATCAAATGTCATTTAAGTTGTTGTTGTTAAATATTTATAGGCAGGTCTGTACTGAAAATATCACCCAAATATTATAGCATGCATTTACACTGCCCTGGGCTCTTATGGACTAATCACTTTCCTCCTTCTGTCTGGCTGAAGAAATGTGTCAAATAGATGCTTTTGCAAAGTTCTGCTATTGTCAAAATAGTCTAAAATGCTATGACTTAGACTCCTGCCTGTGCAGGGAGTAGAAGATTTTTTTTTTCATCTTTCTCTCTTTTGCTTTCAGTCCTATATAAATGCAGTTTAGCTACTAGTACAGGAGTCATTCTTCCATTAGCACAGATATATATAGTATACGAGATCTTGCAACTTTATTTTTAGGTCAGTTCTGTCCACCTGTTATACTGGAACAAAGGGACAAAGCCCAGAATGTTTTCTAATTATTAGTTAATTCTGTGTTTTATTTCCAGGCTAGTACAGTAACTCTTCCTGCCAGCTATATTCTCATGCCAAGTCCTAGGTGTGTAGAAATAAATTCAAACGTGTTTGCTTTCCAAAAGTAATATAATATATTGCACTAGTGCCTTCCTTCAGCTCCTTCTACATAGATGACTATGTATGAAACAGTCAAATGAGTAACATCTCTCTAACAGGATGTTGAGGAATGTTTTTAAAGGTATCAAGTCAAGGAAATACATATTATAAGCAAATGGAGATGCTGCATAAAATTATAACTTGTAAATAGCATAATAATAATAATAATAATAATAATAATAATAATAGCAGGAGGGATCTTTCATAGAGCTGTTTTGCTATCAACATCATATAAATGAGGGATGCCATGACTTTTCATCAACTCTTTTTACCAGGATTTCTAAATTTTATTAGTGAAAAGTCTTTTGTTCCTCCTTTCAAAACAGGAGAAGAAGAACGATGGCTTTGTTCTCTTCTTAAACGTTATAGAAGATATGAACAAGAAAGCATTTCTGATTTATGTCAATTATGTTGCTTAATTTTAATCATTCAGAAAAAGAAAAGCTTTCTCCTTTATCAACATATTTAATTTATATAAATTATAAAATATTCATTGAGAAATCTTTGTGTGCTATTAAAAAAAAAAAAAGATGACATAGAGGACATAGCACTTGAAAACCACACTTTGACCTTTGATACACTGGTATGTTCAGCAGTTGTGAAATTATCCTAAGTCATTTTTAGAAAATATTAAATTATGAGAAAAAATACATTTTAAAATATGCAAACTCACACCCGTGTTGTTTAAACATACTTATCTATCTTTCTGATTGCATTACTAGCTGGTAAAATGAATATGAATATTCATTTCATATGAAATAAATAAGTGCTTGCAAGGTGTCATGAACATTTGACATTCTCTTGAATACAAACTTTTGTGTTTTAGCCCTGAAAACTAACTTGTTGCTCTTTTATTATTTTTTTTTAAATAAGTAATAGTGTAAATTCCCCTTTACATGTCAGATCATGGTTGGGCTTTAGAAGATGAAGCACTAGCCTGTAGATTTAAGTATATGGATCTAACTCTTAACTGCAAATTAAAAGGTGAATACTTTTTAAGCTGAATTTAATTGTTGAATATGAAAATGTTTGAAGATGAAGGATTGAATGTGATGTAGGATTGATTTGTGTTTGCAAATATTTGTTTGAAACATCAAGTTGCCTGGCTTACAACAACAGTTGTTGTAAAAAGAAAACAAGCCAATTTTCTATGTGTATGTATGTAGGTGTGTGCACACTTTTAGGTTTGTATTTATGTGACCAATGTGAGCATGGTTAGCTGTAAATGTTTTTTCCACAGTAACTTATGGTTGTAAAACAAGAGGATCTAATTGTTCTCATGATGATTTATTTCACTTCAATCTTCTCAGGAATACCACCTACCTTTCCTTGCAATATACAAGAATGCAAAAATTTTCTTATGATCTCTTTAGGTTCACCATATAGAGACAAGATCACTATAGCAATTCTTCAGCTGCAAGAAGAGGGCAAGCTCCACATGATGAAGGAGAAATGGTGGAGAGGCAATGGCTGCCCAGAGGAGGAAAGCAAAGAGGCCAGTGCTTTGGGAGTTCAGAATATTGGAGGAATCTTCATCGTATTGGCAGCAGGATTGGTGCTTTCTGTCTTTGTCGCAGTTGGGGAGTTTTTGTACAAATCAAAAAAAAATGCCCAGTTGGAAAAGGTAAATATTGTCTTTTCTTATTTAATTTTATAAAGATGGTCTATTCAGATAATATTTTTAGCTTCCAGTAGACAAATGGAGGTGCATACTGATTATTTATCATAAAATACAGTACTTAACTAACAAAGGATCACAACAGAGTACCCAGATTACAGCTTGTAATTTGTCTTCAATATGTTTAATTGTAGCCAGCTTTCAGGACAAGTGACTATTTCTCCTCTTATTCAAGCCTGAAAAAAGACAGCTTTTTACTCCTGGAAGTTCACTGCAGTTAATTTTATGGATGAAGAAGAAATCCGAAACTGTAATGGGGAAAAAAATAATCTTCTACAGATAATTCTGATTTTCAAAGACATAACTGTCTGTATCTAAAAGTAAAAAAATCTAAAAATGTCTCTATAGAAATGTTTTTTTTTCAGAAGTTTACACTTGGAAAAGTTGTTCTGGTAGCATCTAGAAAAGATTACATCAATCTGATTCTTTATGGTTTTATTACAGATTATGAATTAATGTCCGGTAATTTTAAACTCATTCAATTTTGAAAATTTTAGTGTTTTCTTTTTTGTACTTTCTATTTGTACAACAACAATAATGAACTTGTGCCAAAACTACTAAGGCTTTTGTAAAATTCTTAGTGGGAATAATCAGCTGTGTATATTAATTAATTTAAAAATAACCTCTTTCTATATGACCACGTTTAAAACCTAAGCTCAACGTATAGATTTTATTGCTATGACATATTCTGAATTTTTAAAATGGAGAGAAATTGTGCTTTTTTTATGATTTTTTTCCCCTTTAGATTAGTTTGTGGCCTAAGTCAATTCCTATGTTTGTGTTTAGTAATTTAGCTTAATAAAATAAGTAGTAAATCCAATAGATGAATTTATATTGATATTTTTCCAGATGCTACTAGTGATTTTTTGTAATTGAATCTTTCCTCAGAAAACTTAAGATTTGTATTCAGGCATTTTAAGCTACCTTTTGGTATGCTAATATCCTTTAATGAATATATTGTTAAAGACATTTTTGCTATAACACACAGCAGGAGTGTGAGATCACAAAGTTCTAAAGAGATTTTGAACAAGTTTACATTTTATTATATTGTAAAAAGATTGCTTAAATTCTCTTATTTATCATACTATAGAATGATTCATTTCTGTTAACATACTAGTGAAGTGTTGTGTTTCTGAAAAAATAATTGTGAGGAAAAAAATAACATTTACTTAAATAACCTATGTAAATCTCAGTGATTTTATACATTCCTAAGGTTAATATGGATTTCATATGGATTTCACTATAAATTGGTTTAGTTCTTATTGATCTTTAAGAAATACTTACTCAGAAAAATAGGACTATTTGATAATAATTTTGTAACATCAGTTGCTTAGTGTTTTTTAGGGTTTGAGACCTTATTTGACACTAACACCATGACTTAACTACAGAAAATTGTGTGAGAAAGCCAAAAAAAAAAAAAAAAAAAAATCCTCTCACAGGACCACAGACCACAGTGGATGTCTTCCTATCCCTCCCCAAAATACAGTAGATACCTGATGCCTAGGAGAGGGAGGAGTAGCAGCAGTAGAGGGGAGGTAAGAGGTACAGTCAACTGTCTGCTGCCGCTGCATCTCTTCTACATGGATGGGTGTACCCTGCAGATGGAGCTGTCTTGGCCATTCCTTAGGGAGGGAGGAGGAACCTGTTTTTTGTAGCATTGATTCATTTAGGATCACAAACTCAGTATGATATCTGTGTGCAATATCAGTATATATCCGTGTGATATCTATAAACATTTGGAGACAGGAAAGATCAAAGGTCACATTAAAAGCTAAGGAAACAAAACGAAATCAGATACACTTACGTTGATGAATATGTGGAGTTTCCTGGGACACTGTTGACCATAACAACACGTATATCTTTTTTAGGGTATACAAAAAGCATATAGTTGCACATCCATTATGGGAGCAGACAGGCAATGCAGATTTTAGGTGTATGATTTTGCTAAGAAATGCTAATGCTAAGAAATTAAGTTTCATCAAAGAAATCAAAGAAACTGAACTCAGCAAAGCAGCATACAGAATTGTGTTTCTTTTTTTCTGCAAACTGCTACATATCATGGCCAAATTGGATCAGAGCATTCTTGCTCCTGATATGCTCAAAAAATGGATGACAACTTGTGACCCTAGCTGCAGTCTTTCTGTAAAGCAGACATTGATAAGTTGAATACACATTTGCACCACCACAGCATTTTCTAGACACTGAGGAATTTCTGCTTTATTGACGCCTTTCAAAAGCAAAGATAAGCTTTGATAAGATCAAAGTTAGTCTCTCAGTCACCAACTCTTGCTATGGCTAGTTTTTTTGAAAAATGAATGCCCTAATTTACCAAGGATTTTCTCTAATAACCGGATCTAACAAATGTGAAAAGAACAATGTATTGTCTCAATTCAGCTATCATTTGCAGCCATTCAAAACCCACTGAACAATCAGCAGGTCAGGACAACGTCTGCCTGTAAACAAATAACAGATGTACATATTGTTGTTCCATAACTATTTGTTTCATTAGGGGAGATCTGGGCAGAGACTTTCTATAACACAGAATATGTGAAGTTGAGTCTAAAAAGGTGCTGAATTGATGATACCAGCAGAATTTTTCTGGAGTTAAATGAGCAAATTGTAAATGAAATTATTTGAAATAACCTCTCTGAAATACATTTTTTTTCATAATTGAATAAATAGGCAATGAAAACAATAACTGTATCAATATTGGTTTATCTTTTACAGTCATCGTCCAAGGAAGACAGAATCATTTTTGTTTTCCGTAGTAAATAATTCAGGATTCAACTGCAGAGCTGAATTGAGGAAACTCACTCTAGATGTTGTAATGAATGTGTGTACTGAAAGTTCTTAGCAATTTGTAGAGCTCGACCCAAGCAAAGTGAATATCAGTAGCTGTGAGTCATGTGAGACCCATGAGTCACATATACATGCATTGCACTTACAACAACAGGTTCTACTGAAGAAGTTAGAAATTCTGAATACTGAACTGTGAACTTCATGCAAGGCTAACTATGTGTTTGAAGACAAAAACCTTAACTGGTTGACACTTGTCCAAAATAAGTTGTTTACAAGTATTTACTGGAAATTGCACAAAACATGTTTTGGTTTTGGTAACAGGGATGGCAAGAATAGAAGTCTCTGATTTTAACTATTTCAAATATTCTTGGGGCTTGCTGGGCTGTAGTGAATTTAATTCATGCTAGTAATAGGCCTATAAAGCATTAGGTTATATGTGGTTTTACTATAATTGCCAATACTTTGAAATTGCTGTGTGCCTAGACCAAATCCTCAGGTAATGGGATAACCTAGATATTGTATTTTGATCTAAATTTCATCACTAGTCCTACTAGTCCTCTTATTGCCTTTTTTTTTTTTTTTTTTTTTTTTTTTTTTTTTTTTTTTTTTTTTTTTTTTTNAGAGTTGTCAGAGTGTGTGAATTGAAAATGGATGTGTGGCTCTTTTCTGTGATAGCATTTAACACTCCAATTCGGGCAGTGGGACAGGGCAGGTGGAAAGTGAGGTTCGGAGGCTGTCTGGCCTGCATTCCTCCAGAGTAACCACAAGATGGTGTCTTGCATTTTTCAAGAAAAAAAAAAAAATAATTGTTGCTTTTTAATAGAATTTGTGTCACAGTGCTCACCTGTTGTTTTGTTGCAGCCTTTTTAAAAAATGCTAAAGCCTTATACTCTTTCCTTTTGTTTATAATGCAAACATCTAATTATGTTATTTACTTGGAAGCATGTTATTAAGCAGGCCTCTTTTATCTAGCCAATCTTGACAATAAATGCTTAGCCATTACATTTTATAATTTCTTTTGCTATTGGATGACCTGTTCCCTGATTTTAACAGGCACTCAGATGGCAACAAATATGCAGTGTTAGAAACAGAAGCCATTTAAAACAATTACTATGTCCTTTTTTTTTGTTGATATGTTTCACTATGTTATGGATTTATGCCTATTACATAAATTTATCTTTGTGTAGCTCATATTATTATTATAAAGACAGGGAAAATATTGACCTTGAAGACCATTCATATTTAGCATAAGATACTGATGGTTCTCATTTTGAAAATTTATTGACCGTTCTTTCATTTTCATCCTTTTTAAAAAAAGTTTTTTTTGCGATTATTTTCATTTTGGTACTGCCTTACTGGGAAAATTTACCCTTGGCAGATATTACTTGTGTACTGCTTTAGGATGAAGTTCACTATGTTGCTGAAGGCTGTGGCAAAAACATATAGAACAACACTTGTTGTCATCCCTGCAGAGTAGGGACCTTATACATGTCCTGGTCATGATACTTTGGAGAGAAAGGCTGTGCCTTGAGAAGTTTTCTTTTTTTTGTTGTTGTTGTGGAACTGTACCCTTTGCAAAAAGCATGAAGGGGCCAAGGATTGTTAGTGTGAAGAAACTTGTGCTGTTCATTTGACAACATATCCTGTTAGTTCTTCTCTCAGAGTCAGTTTATTCTTGATGTATTTTCTTGAAATGAACTTAAATGCTGACAGAATTTTTATCCATTGAGGTTCTTCTAAAGTTTGGTTGCACCAGGCTAAATATAATTCTATAAGTTTATGATTGCTCCTTTTTAGAATCAAACTGAGCAAAATGCAACTCACTGCTTACACTGATTGGTTTCAATGATTGTCAGACATGAAATTTGTCCTAAATAGATCAGTCGTACAGGAAGAAGTTAATCAGTACTGAAATGCTGTAAATGCTTCTTTTATCAACAAGATGTGTAGAAAGTGAATGTTTCCATTTCTCTTTTAATTGTTGTATTAACAGTAATGCAAAACAAAACCTAAACAAAAAGAAAAAGTAAAACAAAACAAAACCACAATATTTCCATATGAAAAATGGAAATATTTTTAGGATGTGTTCTTACTTTAACAGAATATTTTACGCACTTTTATTCTCAAATTTTATTAAACTTTTTCTT